GGTTTTAAAGAATAACTCGAGAAGGTCTAACAATGTGTAGACTAGAAGTTGATGCAAAGGACACAGTGCAACTGTGTATTTAATTTGTATGGGAAGCTTTATAAAAATGGCCATAAGCAGAGTTCAGTAGTTTAGCCAGTGCCAAGCAGCGGTGATGTTTTCAGGTGGGATTCCGTAAATGTAGTAAATAATATATTTAAACCCCTCCCAAGCAAGTGTCTCTCATGCGGACTATCTTCACTCCCTTAAATCAGTTACACTGAAGGGATTACAGAATCCCACCTGAAAACATCACCGCTGCTTGGCACTGGCTAAACTACTAAACTCTGCTTATGCCCATTTTTATAAAGCTTCCCATACAAATTAAATACTTGACAAAAAACTGTAAGTAGTAAAATTCTTGCGTGTTAAAAAGAATTTTTTGCTGTTGCTCACAATGCAAAAGGTGACATTTTCTTATTCCTGCATCATTTTTAAATAAAAAAGGCAGATTTCAAAAGCAGAAAATTGGCATTTTGCTATGAAAAGCTGTTTTCACTGACACAATTGGTCGTTTAGAACGGTTCTAATTTTCCATTCTAAATATGTTGCAAGATTATAGGGTATGTTCTGAAATCTGTGCAGCAATTTTCTCTCATGTGCTGCTTAAAGTTTAGAGAATTATCCTGATGATGGCACATATCTATGTATAGTTCAAAGGAAAATGAGGAATACTTTTTCCTCCTTGACATTCAAAATATGCTAGTTTGCATTTGTGTTTTTCTTATGATTGCGTTAACAATTTAAGGTATTTCTAGAATCTGAGAAACCAAGAGAAACTAGCTGCATTTCAGCTTGTCATTGTTATACAGAAATTAGAGAAGCAACTATTGTTTATTGTCTTCATAGTTCTATGTTTTGTCTGCCCTACACAAACGATGGTGCAGCTGGTTCAGTGACCCACCTGAGGCTAAAGTCCTAAAATGCTTCTTAAGTAGCGAGCTCCGTTGAACACAGTGAGACTTGCTAGAGAAGGAACATGCATATGACTGAGCAGGAAGACTTGATTTTTCCTGAACAGCTGGCACACTGCTTTTGAATCTGGGGGGAGTTCAGGAAGTTTTCTAATATAAGGCATGGGCATCATCTGCTCAAACAATGAAAAGTTTAAAATTCTATTAGTTCCCACACTCCAAGGCCTGGGTGAACTTTGGCCTGATTTTATACAGCCCTTGGACTAATTTCAAAAGTCCTCTGCAAGTTCTCGCATTAGGCCTCTAGCAAGAGTGATCTGAACTCTTCCATTGGCCTGTTAGTTGGGAAATGGAGACTCCAGTGGAGAGAATGGGATGTCAGAGAGAGAGAGTGAAAAGGGGCTGGCCCTTCCCATTTTTGCCTCTGACCCCACACACCATTGGGATAGTCATCTCTGTGGGAATATGACTTTCAGCAATAAGAAAGTTTCCCATCCTTGTCTGAGGTGGCTTAGTGCAACGGACAACGCAGAACGAGTGATGTACTTTGTTTCTCAATGATAATTAATTAAGGTGGTTAATTAATTATGGAGTTAAGTAGCACAATCCTACACATCTATCCGGGGGCGGTGCGCTCCCCCCACACTCCTCTTCCTCCGCCAGTGCTTGCCATGCAAATGTATGCTGAAAGTCAGTGTGATTTGGGGGAAGGAATATGGTGAGAGCAGAATGCTGGAGTTGGACCTTGATGAGAGATGAAGCTCATTGAACCCAAACCCAGCAGGTGACCACTCTATCCGCCCAGTGTAACTTGCATGGTTGTAGTGTAGTGTACATGAAATTGAACATAATCTGACCCCATTGGTCCATCTAACTCAGCACTGTCATTGTGACTGGCGGTGACTCTCCAACATGTCAGGCATTTGACTTCCCCAGCTCCGCTCCTTTGGATCTTTTTAGTCAAATAAAACAGGGGTTAAACTTGGGACTGTCTGTATGCAAAACATGTCCTTGATCTCTGACCAATGACCCGTGCATGACAGTGCCATCCTGAGTGCTCTGGAGAAAGGGTAAAATAAAAGTGTAATTAATATTAATTGGCAAATAGGTACAAATAGCATAATTCATTGGGATCTTGTACACTTGGATGAAGCAGAGTTATTCAACACTCTTGAGTCTCTTCCTATGGAAAATTACTATCTTCACAGGATAGAAAGTCAGTCACACAAATCTATTGCGTGTCAAGTTCAATGGTAATAAAGACTGACCAAGACATGCAGGCTGAGAAAAGAGATATACGATATAACTATGACTCATCATGATTAACGCACAGAGGAAAATGCATGTGTAAATCTATATACAATAGTATTATAACAGCCTTTCCTTAAAAAAAATGACATGAAAACCTAACAACACACAACACTAGAGCAAGTCTTTTTTATTAACTGAGTTGAACTTTAAAAATTATGTTATGACCAAAAATCAATAAAGAGAAACTGATTTAAGTTCATCCAAGTGTGAAGGGGGTTTATTACCAGTGCTACATCACTCTAATGATGTACTCTTAAAAATTTGTTTTTGTGATATATTACATCCATTATTGCTAAAAGGATAAAACCGCAAAGCAATACTGGACATTAATAAATCAATTTAAAGAAAGGGAGGGGGAAAGGGCAGATAGCCAAGGGAGAGCCAAGTTCTATTTGTGGATTTTAAATGTTGTGCAATTGTATAGTGCAATGCAAACAGAGCCCTCATCTAGCCTTTAAATGGCTGATAGGGTTTTTGCTCAGTAACTTGTTCGTTGCATCTGTGGCATAATACAACCACACTTGGCAACCACACTGTGCTAGGTGATATTGCTAAAATTAATCCTCTAACTTAAAATTATTGATTGATATGAAAACAGACATACATTGCTGGTTCTTAGCACCATCACAGTCCATGGTGATTATTAAGCAGCCACCACTAATTAAACCCCATCCCATGGGAACTTTTATTTACACATTTTTCCTTTTACCAGAATGCCATGATATGTTACATTTGTAGTATGGGAGCTGCTTCAGTGCGATTGCTTGCAACACTGCTCCATGGGTAATATTTGAAGGACTGTCTCTGCTGGACAGCTATAGTGGACGTGGGGGATCTCCTTATGAACACCTGTGATATTTGTTATTAATGAAGGAAGACATGTGTCGTTGGGGTTCTGTGAAATCTAAACCAATTATTTGGGTGTTCCTCATTTTTAGTATCCAGTTTTCTAACACTTTCCACCTTAGTATGAGTGAGGATAAATTTAGGCCAACTTGCTTGGTACTTCAAAACCATTTCTCTAGTGTCTTTCCCCAAATCGTGAAAATACCATTACTGTGTACCTCAGGTTACATACGCTTTAGGTTACATACGCTTCAGGTTACAGACTCCGCTAACCCAGAAATAGTGCTTCAGGTTAAGAACTTTGCTTCAGGATGAGAACAGAAATCGTGCTCTGGCAGCGCAGCAGCAGCAGGAGGCCCCATTAGCTAAAGTGGTGCTTCAGGTTAAGAACAGTTTCAGGTTAAGTACGGACCTCCGGAACGAATTAAGTACTTCACCTGGGGTACCACTGTACTTTTCTTATTCAGAAGAAAAAAGCTTGTGGAGAAAAGAGAGTGGCACTTTGTACATCAAATCTTGTAGGCAAAATATGCTTATGCCTGCAGTTGTGATTGTCTGAAGTCTATGTTGCAAGTAATTCCCCACCACCACCATTGCAACTTGATGGGAGACTGCAGAAAAGCTCTGCTACATCAAGCCAAAGACCCTTCTAATCTAGCACCCTTTTTGGCTAGGGCCAACCAGGTGCCCATGGAAAGCCTACAAGCGGGACATGATATCTACAGCCCTGTCCTCAACTCCTGTTCCCCAGCAACTGATATTTAGCCTCCGTAGCCATCATGACTAGTAGCCAATAATAGTCCTTTCCTCCAATAATTTATCTTCTTATGTCATCCAAGTCGGTGGCCATAACCACATCTTGTGGTATAAGATTTCATTGTTTAACCATGCACTGTACCTCCTTTTGTCTGTCTTGGATTTCCAAACATTCAGCTTCATCAGATTATTCTAAATTCTGATATTATGAGAAAGGGAGGAAAACTTCTGTCTATTCACTGTGCACAGATTTATTCATGCTTTTTTGAACTGACTGCATAACCAGCTGCATTGAGTTTTATGTATGTAGTTCCTAGTTAAATATCATGCTTCCATGTAGATGGGTGGGGAATCAGAGAACATCCAGACCTGTGTAGGCAAGGAAAAGAGGCATGTTCTTACTCTCTGCCATACATATGGGAATGGATCCAGGCTGAGGTACTGTCTGATCTGTACTAATGAAAGTTGGGGATGTGGGACACAGTATGTAAGAGCATGAACTTATATTTTCATAGTGAAGCAGTGTAATACAATGTGTGCTTCTGTTGTTGTTTTTATAAAACCTTACAGTTATTGTAGTTTTGGGCTTTGTTTTTCTCTGGGATTCCTTAATATGGGACATAGTTCTCTTATAAAAGCTCATTAAACTGAACATAGCTACCTTCCAATTCATTTTAATGGGAAGTACTGCCTCCAGACTCCCACTAAGATGGGTTGCAACCTTTTCCCATTCATTCATTTAAATTAGTTAAAATAAAAGAGTTTGCATAAGATAAATTGACCATAACCATTTTTAAAAATCTAAAAACAAGGTTTATGGTGCTCTTATTGCTTCACAATGCAAATGGCAGTGCAGGGCCATGTACACTATACGACTAATTTTCCAATGTAAACAACTTGAAACTTCTCTATCCATTCTGTGAGTGAGTGGAACAAAGCTAGTTTTACTTTGGAGATTCACTTACAAGAAATGTGTTGTTTGCTCCTGGACAAATATGTGTTTTGGAAGGTAATGTCAGAAGGTTATAGTTTGGTGTGGACAAAAAATAATTAAATCATAGGTTATTTTGGAAAAACTGAATTTCATCTGATTTTCCCCTATTTTACCTAAAGACCCTTTTTAGAGCAATTTTTAAAAAAATATTTATTCCAAGTTTAAAGTTACAAAAAAGAGAAAGAAAAACCATACAAAATACAAAGAAGACTTTAACCATAACAAAGCGAAAAATGAAAAGATAAAAGTGAACAATAAAAAAGAAGACTTAACAAAAAATATAAAAATGCATTAAGTTAAAATAAAACAAAAACAGATTAAACCTTTACATAGCCTTTTCCCTTTACTTATTTCCATGACCTCCTCTTACCTCCCAATTTTGTATTCTAGTTCAGATCGTATTTCCAGCAAATCCTTCTAACCTTATTTTCATTTACGTATTTTAAAATTAAAATAATGTAATTAAACCTCCTCTGTTTCATCAATTTCATCAACTCATTTTTGCTTAATCCTTTATATCATATCTACCAAAACGACCTAATTTTCTTTTTCCAACCTCTTTCTAACAGTCTTTTATATTGCAGTATTTTTGAAGGTATATTTTGAATTTTTTCCAATCTTCTTCCATCGACCCTTCTCCCTGGTCTCGAATTCTGCCAGTCATCTCAGCCAGTTCCATGTAGTCCATCACTTTCATCTGCCATTCTTCTCGGGTGGGCAATTCTTGTGTCTTCCAGTACTTCCCAATGAGTATTCTTGCTGCTGTTGTAGCATACATAAAAAAAGTTCTATCCTCCCTTCGCACCAATTGGCCGACCATGCCCAGAAGAAAGGCCTCTGGTTTCTTCAGAAAGGTATATTTAAATACCTTTTTCAATTCATTATATATCATTTCCCAGAAAGCCTTAATCCTTGGGCATGTCCACCAAAGGTGAAAAAATGTGCCCTCAGTCTCTTTACATTTCCAACATTTACTATCTGGCAAATGATAGATTTTTGCTAGCTTGACTGGGGTTAAGTACCACCTGTAAATCATTTTCATTATATTTCCTCTTAAGGCATTACAAGCCGTAAATTTCATACCTGTGGTCCATAACTGTTCCCAGTCAGCAAACATAATGTTATGTCCAAAGTCTTGTGCCCATTTAATCATAACAGATTTAACCGTTTCATCCTGTGTATTCCATTTCAACAGCAAGTTATACATTCTTGATAAGTTCTTAGTTTTAGGATCTAACAATTCTGTTTCCAATTTTGATTTTTCCTCCTGGAAGCCAATTTTCTTATCTAAATTATAAGCCTCCCTTATTTGATAATAATGAAGCCAGTCTCGAACTTTAGTTTTTAATTTGTCAAAGCTCTGCAGCTTTAATCTATCTCCATCTTGTTCTAAAATTTCACAATATTTTGGCCAATTTGTCTCCATATTGATTTTTTTCAGAGCCTTAGCCTCCATTGGTGACAGCCACCTTGGTGTTTTACTTTCTAACAAATCCTTATATCTCACCCAGACATTAAACAATGCTTTCCTGACAATATGGTTCTTAAAGGCCTTATGTGCTTTAACCTTGTCATACCATAGATATGCATGCCATCCAAAGACATTGTTAAAACCTTCTAAATCTAAAATGTCCGTGTTTTCAAGAAGCAGCCAATCTTTCCCTTTTTAGAGCAAATTATCTATCCAAACTTCTGTCAGTCTCATTAAGAAATACAGTTACTAGATTATGTTTTTTAAGTCTTGCCAACTGTGGTCTTCAGTGGATGTTCTAAGAAGATGCCAGTGGAACAAAAACTATGCATTTGTGATGAAAAACAAGCTGAGCAACTAGTGTGTTATATTTTAATCTGCATTCTGTGCATGAACCTCAGAGTGAAAGATCTGAAACCTTGGATAACTGGTGAAGGCATTAGCACTCTCATGGAAACTGCTTGTTTTCTCTTGAGTGATGATAAAGCCCATGTTACACACAAGTGGCTTCTTTTGCCCTGCCAGTAAGACAAATCAGAAAGACAAAAGAGTTAAACTTCTGCGAACATACAGAGATATAGCCTGAATTAAAGTTTATGCTTAATGCACCCCTGCAGTCCTGCTAAGATGTAGAGCTTTATATTTTAAACATTTGTAGTAATGCATTGATCTGTTGCAATGCCTATTTGCAGAATATATATTTTAAAGAATACAGTATTGGCTACAAAGTATGTTTTTCTTTGTGCTAGGTGCCGATTTGTAAAAGCTATATCTAGTGGTAAACTTTCCCCTGGGATAAGTGCTTCAGGACTTCACTTCTTTTTTTCCCCACATGGGGAAAAACACATCAAACTCTCTGCAGATCGAGAAATAGTATAGCCCAAGCTTACCCCTTCTGTTTGACATGCTAAGTGCTTTTGTTAATCTTCTGGAAAGGGAGAGCATTCAAACCTTTGAACCCACACCTGTGGCGTCAGGTTGCACAGTCTAGGGCAGCTTCACCACATGAGTCTGCTGGGTGGATAAACTGGCTCTAGCTTTGGGGTCCACCATGCCTAAGAAACTGCCTCCACTCTCATGTCCTGTTGCAATCTTGGCCAAAGATTGGCCAAGCACACATACCTTCTTAAATTTACAAACCACGTACAAATCTGAGCTTCAGGGCCATTCATATTTCTCAAGTGCACAAGCCAATCAATATTTGTTTGGCCATGAGCTTTAACAACAATACAGTTGTCATATCAGTATGACTCTCAATTGCAAAATTCTCTTCTCCTTCATGATTGCCAAAGTATGACCCTCTTTGGGTGTTACAGATGTGAAGAAACAGCACAATGAGAGGCAGAGTCCCATTGGTAGCCCCAACCCCCATTTTCATGTGTCTCAGTGCTGGCTTTCCCATGTCCTAGCATAATTTTTGCGACTTGGAACTGGTTCTACATATGGAGGCTCTCTGTGCAATGAAGAACCCTGGAAGATGCAGCTGCAGATACAGCTAGGCTAGGGGATGGCATATTCAATGCCCCTCCACATTACAAAAAGGACTGAAACGTAAAGGTAAAGGACAGTTAAGTCCCGTCACAGACGACTCTGGGGTTGTGGTGCAGCATTTGTCTGCAGACAGTTTTTCCGGGTCATGTGGCCAGCACGACTAAGCCACTTCTGGTGCAATGGAACACCAAAACCAGAGCAGAGCATGGAAATGCCATTTACCTTCCTGCCGGTGCAGTACCTATTTATTTACTTGCATTTTTGGGGTGCTTTCAAACTGCTAGGTTGTCAGGAGCAGGAACCGAGCAACGGGAGCTCACCCCGTCGTGGGGATTTGAACTGCCGACCTTCTGATCAGCAAGCCCAATAGGCTCAGTGGTTTAGACCACAGCACTGCCCACGTCCCTATATATTGAGCAAGGCCAGAGGCAAAAGAGGGCAAGTGTGACACAGGTATGGGGATTTGGACTGAGGAGAGTCTTGGGGGCTTGATAGAGAAGGCCTGGAGAGCAGCATGTGACACATACACAATGCCCAGGACCGAGGTTCCCCAACTCCTGCTGTATATAAAAAATAGTGCATCAGATAAATGATTAGGGTAGTATCCATCTCCTGGATGTGCTAACTTTTGTGCCCAGGAAGTTTGTGCAGTGTGGGAGAAAATTCAGTTTGCAGATAGAAGATAGCATATATGAAGGTGCACAGTCCCTGGACTCCCAACTCTGGAGGCTTCCAGATGCAGGCTGTGGTGAGCTCTGGTGCCTCTCCAGAAGAGAGAGGAGACAGCTGCTGCAACAGTGAAAAAGGCTGCCATCTGTGCAATCAAGCAACTGAGCATAAACCAGATGAAGCACCTTGACTCGGTATTTGAGTTAAGAAAGTCTTTTGAGGAAGAATATTTTTGAAAATTGGAAATATAGCATCATTGATTATTTCCTATGATTTCTAGCAAGTGTTATTTTAAAGTGAGATACTGTGAGCTAAAGAAGCTCCATTCCAAACCAGAAACCGTAATTCTTTAATTGCCATTATTTCATGCACAAGACTGAAATATGTTTTTAATTGCATATAATGAAATGCACGAACCTTAATGTCTGAAAGGGTTATCCATCTGATATCCATTCCATGGGCGGCAATTACATACACACTTGTGATGGGATTATGAGCTGCTTGTGCGTAAAATCGTATTCCCTCAGAGTTTGTTGAAGTCCACAAACCTCTGTCTGTGACTGAGCCCCTCTGACATGGCTCCTCTAGTCACTAGAAGATTCCGACAGTGGTTGCTTTCGTAATCGCTTCCAACATAAAAGCTCCTTAACGGAAACACGTCTTCTGGACTCTCTGCGTGACAGTTTCCGGCGAGGAGTGGGTGTCGCTACAGGAGGTCCGGAAACCTCACCACTGTTTTCGCTGGAAGTATCTCTGAGCCATCC